ATAAAGCGGCCGGAGCGTGAAGCTAAGCATTCACCTCCATCTAGTGCCGAGGTCAAGCAAACGTGCATCTATTCAACCATTCCCCATATGTCTTCATGGCATGGTGCTTAATTACTTAAGCACAGGAACAACTTCTACTTTTTACTTATTACTATGATCAGATTCCTGTATGGCTACAGCACAGCGACCGTTTCGCTTTGTATTCTAGAGAAATTCAAAGAATACTCGGACAGATTATAATGAAGGGGGTTGTGATGTGTGTTAACTATAGCCGCAATGANCTTCTATATATTTTTCCTTCTACCCTGAAGATGGAGGCGATACGTTCCTCCGAAACGTCGGTTAACACCACATATACACGGTGCCAAATCCCAGAAGACTGCTTTCTTCATAGTCACCGCCGTGAAAGCCTCAAATCTTACATATCGTATACTTCGTTTTCCTTACGCAATGAAGAAAATTTACGTTTTTAAGCTTCTCTATTCTCTACTATTACATCTTATTAAATTACGTCTTAATTTCTTCATGCAGTAAGCTTATTTATTATTAATTTTATACCCATATTTTCAAGAAATATTTCCATTCTTAGACAATAAATATGTCATTATAACGGAATTTTAATTGAAGATAATTTAATAGACCTATGAACGGAAGCAAGGCGCAATTTAACATCACTGCAGCAAGACGTAGAAGCTACGAAATGAAAGCCACACTCTGTAACTGACACGTTATTTCTCGAGGTTTCAGAAGTTGCAATATTGCGGTACAGAATATGACGTAACATCCTCCGTGGTTTTGACTTTAAGGTCGTGCTTTTCAATTGCAACAGGGAAGACAACGAACTGTGATGGAGCCTACGGCAGACAGAAGAAAACGTGGTAATAATGAAATAGCATTTCATTTTCATACAGCAGGCTATGTCCTACTTGTTGGTCATGGAAAATAATAGGTCTGCAAGAAGCTTTTGTAGCGAAAGGAATTCAGGACACGCGGCATAGTTAATCTGCTCTCATGTGGTACAGTTCACCGTGCTCTGTAATACTCAGCTTACCGTCAGTTACACACGTCGTTGTAACGAAGATTTCAGGATGTGGGGTACATAAAAGTCGTGGATAATATTGAAATAAGCGTGGAATGAAAAATCATTTTCATTTCATGGTGTGTATTCATATAAATACCGTATTAAATCAGCCGCACGCATCCGGTGCGATTTTGAGGCCATAGCTTATTTAAGTTTTTGTCACTTGGGTCAGTTTTTTTATGGAACCAAGTGACCTATATGACGCCCCCATAAGCAGGGCCCTACACTTTATTAAAAGTGTTGGATTAATAAAGGGGTAATCCAAGAGGAAGCACAATAGGTCATTGAAGGTCGCAGTGCGGGGCCGGTTTTTATGGCCCACCCCTTACATACGTACATCACATTACAATACCGTATTAACCCTGTGGAAGTGGATATAATCTGTACAGTACTTTCATACTTAACATTTTGACATGATATTATCACATATACGGGGTTAGAGTGACTAATGATCGTGGGTTTTATATTTGATGACTGGATTTATTGGACGTCTCTATTACAATTACAGTTGATTATAACAGCTCACACATTGAAATCCTGAACGACGTCTGTTGTACGAATCTCTATGAGGAATCTCTTAATGTTGTCTATATCTCGGACTGGTCTCGAGTCTCCTGAATTCTGGATCTCTGCTCCATTTCTAATTGCTAGGCGGCCGCGACAGGAGACACCGCGTCCAAGGGTTCCCTTACTGTGTTTCCAGAATGCGTTGTCTACAAAAGCATGTATTCATTCCCAAGCGACTGTTTCGTTGCTAACAGTTTACAACTTCTTACTTGTTAACGACATGATCGCTGCTATACTTTGTAACGGGAACGTGATTTCCCTCCGTTGCTCAGAAATGGACGTCTGGCTTTGTCTCCAATATCCCGGCTTTCAGCATTCACGTCACAGTAGTGTGGAAAATTATGTCCCACTTTTACAACACCCATCCAGTATGCTACTTGCTAAAATAATTTTTCTTCGAAGGAATTAAACACATTTTGACTATAAAGTGTATACTGTGGCCTGCTGCACTTTGCAATTACAGCTTGTTTTGACGTGCATTTATATGCGTGTAGATCAGTTCGGAAAGAATTGCATTTACCGCAAATATAAACGATTACACTGACAACAGAGACTGAAAGCAATTTTGATATCTAAATTGCGATTTTCTGGATTGTGTAACCATATAATCTCGTATGTGGTTACTAATGTTTCAGAAAAGTATGCTGCCTCCATCTTCAGGGTAGGTGTTACAATCATCACGATCTAAATCTTCACAGCCATGAAACTTTGAATGTTATGGTTATGATCTAATGAAACTAACTCCATAGGACACATTATCACATTATTTCTTGAGAATCTAATAGTTGTTCAGTTAGTGAAAAAACTCTCAGCAAAATATGGAACCCGATATAATTATAATATTATCACATATTCTACTTTTCTTTGTATATGTGCTGTGTATGTGTCCAGGTCTCCGTGTCGCTTGTTTTAGAACAGCCTATCGCTCTCAGGTCAGAGACATCTGAATAAAGATCACTGAGTGTGGCGAGGCCAGGTTCACTGAAAAGTAAACAGCAAAAGTCAAATAGGATCGTTGTTAAAGAAAGACTGTGGGATTATGTCTCCCATCACGAACAGAAAGGTTATTATTGCAGTAGGAATACTTGACTTCGCATCTTCAGCCTTCTCTCACTACGAAACATAACTTTCTGCAAACGCTGAAATAATAGCGAGGGTTTTCACACTGCAAATAGCTCTATTTGTACTTTTCTATTATTTGGTGTATCCTTCAGGAATTCTTTTGAGCAGCGAAGCGAAGAAAAATGCATAGTTCACAATTTCTTTTTGTGTTTCAAATTATGTGAAGAGAAAGTCTGCAAAAAGGGGAACTGCGTGTAGTGTCAGAAGCGTGCTGATGAATTTATTTGTATCGGAATAAATTTCAATGTCAAGGTTGAAGCATATCTTCATAGGGTTTAAATTCCATACTGAATCCGAAACAATAGACCACAACCGACATATTGTCCAGTCGAGATTGAGTATGAGGGCTGATCGATTATTTATTTAACGACACCGATTTAGCTTCCTAGGTTAGGCCAATTTAGTGCCAAATATTGCGATGACTTACGGATGATGAATTGAAGATTATTTTGAAAGAAGCATTCGTAGCCCGTTTCAAAACACTACTCTGACGTTTGCTTGGCGTGACTGAGGAAAACGACACGATACGTCTTTCAGGACACGCGGCCCCCGGGCCGAAATACGATTGCATGGCGGAAAAAAGGTTAACGGTGCAGATAAGATGAGTGGAGGGAAGAAGTCGTGACCCATTTTGAGGAGAAACTACAGAATCTATCTGGAGAGAAATATATTATTACTTACTCATGGAGCTGAGCCTTTCTGGAGGAGCCACAATTCTGCAGCTACTCAAGAATTTCCCAGCATTTTATGGAACCCGAAGGTTTATTACCGTGTTCACAAGAACCCTCCACTGGTCCCTATCCTGAGCCAGATCAAACCAATAAATACCATCCCATCGTATCTCTCTAAGATCTATTTTACTATTGTCCACCCACCTACGTCTTTGTCTTCCCAGTGGAAGATGGGAGCCAGAAGAGTTCCTTCTGGCTTTCCCCACCAATATCTTACATGCATTTCTCGTCTCCCCCATTTGTGCTACATGACCTGCCCACCTCAACCTCCTTGACTTGATCATTCTAATTATACTTGGAGAATAGTACAAGTTATGAAGCTCCTTATGAAGCAGTTTTCTCCAACCTCCTGTCACTTCGTCTCTCTTAGGTCCAAATATTCTCCTCAACACCCTGTTCTCAAACACCCTCAGTCTGTGTTCCTACCTTAATGTCAGAAACCGAGTTTCACACCCATACAGAAGCACAGGCAAATTTATAGTTTTGTATATTCTAATTTTTATGTTTTTGTACAGCAGATGAGAAGACACGTATCGTAGTTTAATGCAAGTTTCATACCTTTGTTATGTCATTAATAATATTGAAGGAAAACGTGGAATTCAAATAGAATACAGACTGAATTAGAATTGTATCTTAGTGTAAATTTTTCTAAGAATGTTGAATTTTGTCGTCTATAGATCTCATAGTTGAAATCATTGGAATCCTTTGCATTTTAGTTTCTTCAGTGAACTGGTCTCACAGTTAACATTCCGTTGAAGCACAATAGACCTAAGGTCGCGGTGCAAGGGCCGAGAAGGCCTACCCCTCATATATTCTAACATTCCGTTACGCTCTGCCATGGAACCGCGGGTGGTGGTTCGGCATTCCACAGCAACATTGTTTAATGCACTTGCGTATTGGGACGTCTCAATTTATTTTTCTTCCCAGAGTCTACTCTGGTGTACTTAGAGACAAGAAATGGAACGTGAATATGAAATACGTGGTATAACTGACCATGTTGCAATTCTATATTGATGTGATGCTTCTGACTATGTTGCAATTCTATATTGATATGGTGCTTCTGACTATGTAGCAATTCTATATTGATGTGGTGCTTCTGACTATGTTGCAATTCTATATTGATGTGGTGCTTCTGACTATGTTGCAATTCTATATTGATATGGTGCTTCTGACTATGTAGCAATTCTATATTGATATGGTGCTTCTGACTATGTTGCAATTCTATATTGATATGGTACTTCTGACTATGTAGCAATTCTATATTGATGTGATGCTTCTGACTATGTTGCAATTCTATATTGATGTGGTGCTTCTGACCATGTTGCAATTCTATATTGATATGGTGCTTCTGACTATGTTGCAATTCTAAGAAAAATGTAATAAAAGCAGGTACGTATTCATCACGGACACGAAAATGAGAAAGGATGAGCAAACTTTTGTTTGGAGGAACAGGCTTTCTTTAACAATTTCATTAAAATGTATTTTTCAAACTGGTGGTAATAGGTTGTTTAATTTTTTAAGTACAATATTACTTTTCAGTTTATACTGTTAATTGCCTGAGGCGACAAATGTGCTATTTATTTTGTTTACAGTTAAAACAAAAATGTCATATATACAGTAATATTTAACACATACAAAATTAGACACATGTGGAGTTAATATAAAAATACATTCCTGTCTACTCTGATCATATGACCAGTTTATTTTTATTACAGTATATAGGTATAACAGTTTTATTTTACAAATATAACATCTTGTGGAAGATTTTAAATTAGCCAAGTTTGCATGATACCACTGATTTTATTACAAAATTGATGCTTGTGTTGAATAAACCTACAGCTGAAATGCATGTTTACTTTTTCCTGTTAATGTAAAATTAATAGGCTTCTATGTAGGTTTATATATTTTATGTTATAATAAGTAGATTCCTATGTGTTACCATAGAAGAAATTGCTATTTTTAAAACGGAAGGAGAAATAAATATTTAGTAACATATTAAAATCATTATCGTATTGCCATAAAGCTGTATTGCCAGCATTAAAGTGAAACTTCCGTGAAGACAGAAATGAATATTTAGAGCAGTTTTCTGGTGACATGAATCTGAGAAATACCTAAGAAGTCTGTATATCCACACAATTATAAATATGAATGAAAAACCTTCCTGCAAGTAGGACTAATATCAATGTAAGATTTGAGGTTTTCACACCGGTGACTATGAATAATGTTGTCTTCTTGGGTGTGGCGCCGTTTCGGAGGAACGTATCGCCTCCATATTCAGGGCAGAAAATCCGCAAGGGAGGAACCAGCGTAAGCAGGTGGCTCCAGCTTCCTCGCTGTCGTGTTTTTCTGCCCGGAAGATGGCGGCGATACGTTCCTCCGAAACGTCGGTTCACACAAGATTTAATTCTCACATCCCAGAAGACGACATTCTTCGACTAATATTAAGTTAAAGACGATGACACTGTGAGTTAAAGTCATCATTCTTTTGTAATTTTGATCTCCATTTCAGAGAAGTAGAACTGCATAAATGAAACGTTAACTTTAATGTATTAGTCTCAGATCAACTGAACATTATTCTTCAGAGAGGTGTTTACGTGAAATATTGATCAATGTATTTGGAGAGATTGAATCATTATTGAAGTTTCTAGGAAACCTACTAAAAATCCAAATAACATATGGGACTTTATAGATACTGTCCAGCAAATTAACCCACTTAAATGATTTCTGTAACTTCGGAGTACCTGACACGTAGAAAATATTACGAGTATATTATCTGTGGTAAAGAGGGTTCGATGGTAGGTTGTTAACTGACATCAGATCAGGAATGAATTCTATTCCCTAAAATTAATCTGTTCAGATTCATATACCTGTATTAAGTCCCACCTTTAGACTTCGTCATAAATCCTCTTCTTTGCTTTCTGCTGCCATTAAATACTGAACAAGAATCTAGGGTTCGAGTCACCGGGTTGCTATGTTAACAAGCACTCCTGCTTGAGTTCCATTCTCAGTGATTTAATGAACTGTGGACAGAGTACGCGAGCGTTAAAATGGGAATCAGTATAAATCCATGGCTCTTGTATTTCTGAGTGAATGCTGCTGCGACGGTTCAGTATCAGGGACGTTAGATTCAATAGCCAGAGCTGGATGGTCCGGGGGGACCGTATGTTGCAGAAGGGCCACCACCGCCACCACCACCACTACTACTGGGCCCCGGATAGTTGTATGGTCCGCGGTTAGTGTCAGGGTAGGAAGCCTGGCCTTCATAGGAAACGTCGGCGTGAAATCCAGTCTTCCAGTCAGCGGTATACCGCACAATCTGCAGTCGTCCATCCGGCAGTTGCACGCGGTATTCTCCCTTTACAACATCTCCGTCACTAACGGCGTTGTGCGAGTAGTCAGTGCCGTAATAATCGTCCTTAACGGCGTAGTTGAAATCATAAGGCATGCCAGGTACATGGTGGTCGTGCAGATGCTCGTCACCAAGGACCTGCAAATACAAAAACCCGTAAGATATAATTCGGTACACTTTCAGTATGTATGTAGATGCGGTAAACCAGTGACCTGCGCCTGCTTGTCCAGTGCTTATGTGTTTACGAGTACATGCACAGAACAAACGGGAGCTTTCATTTACCGAGTACGGTAATTATGAATATCCTCGTACCAGTACACCGTCCGCTAAACATGCCAGCACGTACACTGCCACTTCCTCTTCATCCTTCCGCGTCAGTCTCTTAGCGTAAAGGCAATAAGTTGGCCCTGTGCTTAAGAAATTAAGCACTACGGCGTGACGACGTATGTGGGAGTGGATGTATAGGACCGCCGTTCTTGACCTCAACACTGAATGGAAGTGAGTGGTCAGTTTCACGACCCGGCTGCTTTGCTTCGTGGAAAGAGCCGCCGGCACCCTTTGGACAGGAGCCTGAGTGGGCCCCAGAGCCGTTCTGGAAGCTTGCCCCTGCCAGTAATCTAACACCGGCCCTCCAGCCTCTAACCTGTCACTATACCGACTGAGCTATCACCCCTTCCACTCATACGGTATTAGTAATATAAAATAAAGTTTTACGTCACTCCCTTAATATATTTTCTATTTATTTATATTTTGTAATATTTATTCTACGTTTATTTCACCTCAACTACAGGTAGGGACATTGATTTATGTGTCTGTACATGTGAGTATATGAATGTACGTACCTAAGTCATCATCATATCATCATCATCATCATTGGCTATACAGCCTCTTTTGAACAATAGCTACCTTACGAAAATTCTGTCAGATTTCTCCATTCCTGGGAGATAGACTATCCGGTTTTCACTCCCTTTGATTTCAAAACAATAATTTATTTTACGGAGCAAAGTCGTCAGCCTAGCGGCCAACCCCCAACCAGGAAAACGAGGTCCCTGTATTTATAACCCCCAGGAACAGGGTGACCCAGTTGTACCCCCAGGCACTGGGTTCCATTTTCGTCGCCTTCTACGACTCACAGGGCTACGGTGGAGGTATTGTGACCCGCCTCCACGTACTTCAGTATTAATGGTAAATTTTACGCTGCAGCCTTCACGTATCCCTATTTAAACCTTAAGGTAACGAGTTTGTCGAACGCGGATTTACTTAACGTGCCTTTCTGGATGGGGGGGGGTTAAGATAAAAAGACCGCATAGGATGAAACTTAGTGTAATAGTTTATATTGGATAATTAATTTTAATCGTGTAATTTACAATTTTCGATTTTAATAATTCATATTTGACAATTTGTCTTTTTTCTTCTTTTATCAAATTTTTATTTTTAGTTGTTCTTCATTGAATGGCAAGGAAGTTCTTCATGAAAATTTAGAATATTTTGCGGACTTGCTGAATTATAATGTTTAGTTTCATATGCTGGGTGTAGGTGTCCTACAGCCGGGCTTATGACTGGAGCAGTCACGACCAGCGAAGTATCTGGAGACCTTTATTCTCTCGCTCGATAGTTCTTACTGTAACGCTGACGTGCCTCGTGAAACTTGGTTGTTTCCTCAGAATGACTACATAAATTTCGACCGAAAATATTTGTCTAAAGGTAAGGCTCTTCAATTCTCTTCGTGAAGTGCTCGGTTCGAACTTCGGCTCGGACATTGACTATCCTTGATGAGATGTTCGTGGTTTTCCTCTGTTCCTCCGGGTACATACCGGGATAGTACCTATATTAAGCAACAGCAGTTCGTTCCATACATTTACAAACTCATTACACCACCCAACGCTGTATACGAGTAGGCTTGGTGCTAGAGAAGAACTCTTAAACAAGCCACGGAAGAAAAGCAACAGAAGAAGATTCACATTTCCTATAGACGATAATATAGATGTTTGAAATTCCTGTATAATAGTGTTTTAAAATACTAGAATTTAAAATTATAACTGTTACTATAAAGAACAAGGAGCACGCGGTAGCGTGATTGCTTGAGGCACTATGCTATAAAACTGAAAGTTCCCGAGTTCGATTTCTAATGAGGTTTTTAGATTTGTGAAACGACTTAATCCTTCCAGCCGCACTATAGCCCTGGGGTCAACTCAGCCTCTAACAGAAATGAGTATCAGGGATCTTCCTGGGGCTAAAGGGCGGCCGGAGGATTGAAGACATCACTGCCATATTTGAGCAGATTTTCTAGAAAATGTGGGAACCTCGACGTCTCAACCCTATGGGCCTTCACGGTCTGTAACAGGGTTAGCTTTTGTTATAAAGAGGAAACAGTAACTCAGAAAGAGACCCATCTCCCTTGATTCCTCTAAGACATTATTATGGACATAACGTGTTCTGAATTATGACAACGTACAGTCTAGTAAAAGTATACTAATATTTCGGTGGAGCATACTGCTTCCATTTTCAGTCTTACATACCTAGGAAAATCAAAATATTGATTTCCACCGTGGCGAAAACTCGGATTTTTCAAATATTACACACAATTTTCCACTTCGAAACTCCTATTGTGTAAGAGACCGGTGCGTTTACAATTTGAAAACTGGTTACCTCTTCCCTTATAAATCGTAAAAATACAGTTGTTTATTCAGGCTATGTAAGCACCCCTCATTACTGAACTCTTCATTTCATGCTTCCCTACAGTGACATGATTTCTTTTAGCATTTCTAATTAGGCCCTGAATACGCAGTTCCAGCTTACACCGCATCTTTTGCTGTGAGCACTATTTAATTGAAGGAAAGCTGTTACGTGTTTGAAAGTGAAAGCTGATTCCTGAAGAAAGTGGACATAACTTGACACATTAACGGCCGTTTAAAATGCATTGCCGATAAGCAAGGATATTCTGAACCGGCTGAACCGCTGTTCAGAGTGGGTAGGTGGGGTTATCGCAGTACTGCCTTCTGACGAGAGAATTAAATAAGCGATATGCTCAATGTACACAACAACATTGCATGCTTTTGGGACCACAGTGTGCCGTGTTCGCATTAAGTATTTCGCATTTAAATCTGTGTGATATGACATGCATATAAGTTTGCAACACAGAACAAGTAAGCTATCAACACCCTATAACATTTTAAATTGAAAGTTTCATTAAACAAGGTAAAAAGGTAAAGTTGCAATTAATTATCATGCCATTAAGCTGTATGGGGAGGTATAGCTACACAGTTCTTGACCTCGGCATTTGTTGGGTGTGAGTGGTCAGCTTCACGACCCGACCGCTTTATCCACGGGGAAAGATCCTCTGGTTTCCTTTACATATTGGGCTGGGTGGGTCCCAGAACCGGTCTAGGCGTTGTGAAGTAACCAGTCGCCATGTCGAGTGAGCTATCTCGGCTTCTGCTTCATTAAATATACCACGAACAAATAAAGTAAGCACGTTATATGTCCCAGCATATTATACTGCAATGGAGTGCACTCAAGTGAGAATTCTCGTATTTTTTACATCTGACCGTGCGAAGTTAAGAGCTCATGGAAAACAAGATCTCAAACTAACAAATAAATAAATTATATTATAACACGGAAGGTCTGTTTCACTCGTATTCTTCTCTAGCCTTTTTTACAAGCTAAATTTTCTGTTGTATAAGGCCGTTGTGAAGTATAAGAAATTGTTGCAACTATAATTTCAACAGGCTCCAAACCTTCCTCTAGTCTTACTTGCACCAAAACGAATGGAGCTATGAAGAGCAATGGGACATTCTTCTGAATGTAAATCCTGTCAACTATTGTCCTTACCACAAAACTTAAAATACTAATCCTTCATGAAGTTTTATTAAGAACGTATGAAAAGATAACCACGATAGCTGCATTTCCTACGTTCTGTAATGGTTGTGTGAATTTGGCATTACAATAAGTCTTGTGTCTTAGTGCGTTAGCATGTGCTAGTATATTAACGAAAATAAGGAAAAAGGTGAGGCTCTTCCTGTAACAGGCAGTGAAGGCCCATTGGTTTGTGGGAAGACGAGGCTTCCACGTTTTCTAAACAATCGGCTCGCAGATGGCGGTGAAGTTGTCAGCCTTACGGGCCGGCCGCTCTTTACTCCTAGTACTCATTTCTGCTAGAGACTAAGTCAACCTAATGGCCATGGTGCGGCTGTGAAGTGTTGGGTCAATTGAAAAATCCACTGAACTCATCGGGACTTGAACCCGCGACCTTCCAGCTTATAGCATAATGCGTGAACCAACTACGCTACCGCGTGTCCCTATTAACGAGAGTACCACGTTAAATTAATATGTCGCTATTGTAACAACAGTGTAAATTTAAAACCTGAACTTCCAGCATCGGTGTTTGTGAGGATTTCTATCTTTTAGGATATAGCGCCGTGTAGCCCACTGAAAGTTAATCGAAATTTCGGAGGAACGTGCCTGCTTTCTTTCCTGACTTAATGTTCGAACCTAAAATGGTTGAGAGATGTTCCTCTGAAACGTCCGTTTACTGTCAACGGACTACATATCGTTATATCCCAGAAGATAGAACTCCTCACCTATATAACTGTTCTAATTTTCTTCTCTTCTTAAGGTCAAATAACTGTATTTCACTCTTCAGTTTTCTCTTATTTATGTTACTTCGAGCAGGCATAAATTTATTCTAATTTATGTTTCGGTTTGAACAGGAACGAGCAATCGGGTTATGGCTTACACGTCTTCATATGCTCCACCCACATTCTTTAGCAACGAGCCGGAAAGCGAGTTTAAATCTGATAGCGCGAAACTGAGCATGACAATGCATTTGTCGTGAAAACATAATTATGCATCTTGCAAATATATGCATAAAGCTCACAGCATACAACTGTCGGAACCTAATTAGATAATTACATATATTATACGACTCGTTTTAATTATTCTATTGTTACCATATGCTAATAGAATGTAGCAGACACGAAATGGGAACCACATTTTTCTAAGTTTGGTTTGAGGTTCTCACAGCGGCAACTTTGAAGAGTACTATTTCCTGGGTTCTAACGTCATGCGTTTCGATGAGTTTGTCACCTGCTTACTGCTTGTCCCTTGTTTGGATTACTCTTCAACCCTGAAGTTGGAGG